TATAAGGATAATTAGGACTTACAAACAGCCAGTGACCGTAGATAATCGAACACTTGAAAACGTAGAACAGTTCTCATATCTTAGCGGCGTGGTGTCCGTACTGGAAGAGATCGAGGAAGAGATACAATCACTGTTGAATAAATATAGAACTGATTTTGGAACAATGAGGCAAATCTGGAAATCCAACAGTTAGTGCAGAGGAACAAAATTCTGACTTCACAAGAGCATCATTTTGCCAGGTCTTTAGGGAGCAGAATGCTGGAGAATGACCAAAAATGATGCTCACAAGCTATTCACCTTCCACCACAAATGTCTACATAGAGTTATCAACATTTTCTGGCAGATAAATCTCAGACACTAAACTACTCCAAATCATGAACCGAGAAATTCTAGACCAGTGGCTCTCAACCTTCCCAATGCCGCTATCCTTTAGTTCAGTTCCCTCACATTGTTGCGACCCATAGACAATTATTTTCCTTCATAACTTCAACGAATTTGTGTTTTCCGATGGTCTTGGGTGACCCCTGTGAAAGGGTCGCTCGGCCCCCCCCCCCCCCTTCCCTAAAAAAAAAAAAAAGGTTGTGACCCGTAGGTGGAGAATGGCTGCTCTAGACAGAATGACAACAAAGAGAAGACGTAAAAAGCTTAGCCATGTCACGAGAATAAATCCTGATATATCTACGTGTGTGAGTGTGTGTGTGTTTGCGTGCATGCGTACGTGGGTGTTTATGTGTATGTTAGGTGCGTGGGAGCCAGTGCGTGTGTCTTTGTTGTGCGGGCCAACGGAAGTTCGGTTCTGTTCTGTGGATTTTATATTAAAAGAACCGTAACCGCAGGTAGCCGAATCAGTTTGTGAGCATCTCTAGAAAAGACGTTTAGATACTGAATGATGTGAACAACTGTGCATAGTTTGTAGGGTCGTGTAATGAGACAGGATTAATGATTGGGTTAAAATCAGTAACAGATGATCTATAGTTTTCATCATCATCATTCTATGAAGTCTATATATTTATGTTGCCTGTAATCCGTCCCGATCTCATTGAACATTTTGAGAACATCTACCGTCACTGATGTTATTGTTAAGCAGTCAAGTATTTTTTCTAGGAAGAAACAGCAGACTTTATAAGAACCGATAGTTTCCACTAGAGGAGGTGAACCAGGACCTCAAGAAAGGTCCATAGAAATATCAAGTTGGCACGTTGTGATCCAGCCGTCTGCAGTATATCTACCCTAGTGCCACAGTCCAGTCCCCAAATACAGAGGGTCTCAGCACGTAAAGAGGTTTCAGCATTCGACGATCACCAACAATATACCTGGACTTATTACAGAGAGTAAAGGGGATAAGTATACATATGCCTAGTACGTTCAACAGTAGGATATACAGAAAAGTGTGTGTGGGCGGTGGGGGGGGGGGGGCGCTAAGGAATGTCTGAGCTCTCTGCAGTCACATGCTTAATTTCACATATACATGCAACACCCCCTCACACCCCCAACTCCTAAAACACAAACACACACACATACACGTGAGCTTTATATGCACGAGCCTGACCTCTTTGGCATAATTTGAAAGACCAGTATGTATTATTTCCAAGTAGGATGAGTAGTTAACACTAGATTTACAAAAACAAAAAGCCATACAAACCCCTGGGTATGAGAGCTTGAATTTCTGTGACCCTCATCTTATTGTAAAGAGCACCGGTATCCTGTATTTCTTCGGATGGTAAGGTCAGCTGAAAACAAAAGGAAGGGGCAGATGATTTATTATTGAATATTCATTGACTGAAAAATAATTCACTTGCATGTTCAATGACTAGAAATTAACAGGTAAATATTCCACATCATTTAAAGACCATCTCCATCGCACAGGACATGACTATAAGTGCTCCGATCTCCCCCTCAGTATGTCTTTAAGGTTTTTTGGCTAACAGCTCCAATTCTGTTCTGGTTGAGGTAACGACGGCTATGAAGTCTACTCAATGAGAAGTCGTTTTCCACGAAACCGCATTAATGATGTCTCTTCTGTCTATAGATAACCAATTCCTAATAGTCGCAGTGCCAGCCAGGGTGTCTGCTCTCTCATTGCCTTTCACACTGGCTTGCCCTGACACACAAAAATGAAGGTGATTTTGCAAAAGGCTGTGTGTTATATTAGAAGGAGCCACTGTTGCCATATGTATCCCACCTTGATCTTCTGTATCATGCTCGTTAAGTTTCGCTGATAAAGCAGCATCTAGTGAATTCCTCTTTTTTTTTTCTTCCAGCGATTGTAGGGCCTCTGCCACAGCCATGACCTCCATTGGACATGCTGCTTATGGTAGAAGGAAAGGCTCCTCTATCTTCTTGGATGACATGTCCTTTACTTTTTGCTGGGGAAAGCACATGCACTTCGCTTCTGACGAATCACAGAACTATCTGTGTGTCTATATATATATATATATATCTTCCGGTGATGTACGTTTCTCCACTAATGCTTTTTTTTTTTAGCATTAACTATTGGTGGCGCTTAATCGCTACGTTGTCTTGTCAGGGTGATAACCACCGCAAAGCAGTGCTTGTATTCGTTTGGTACGGGTATCTATTCTTCTCTATGGTTTATGTCTTGAAAGGAAACACTTGCTGAAATACTGTCTCTGTCTGGCCCAACCAAGACCGGCCTCGTTTAAGTATATCGCATTTACTTGTAGTCAACTTATTGTGCAGTGGGTGTGTAATGTCAGCTGTGAATAATCTGTCCAAAGTGCGAGATGCTAAACAAAACTGAGTAGGAAATTTCAGTATAGAACATAATTTAAACCATTAACAGTCAACCCGATGTGTGGATACCGTACTTTAATGTAGTTGTTTACAGTGGAACCTCGCTTAAAGAGCATAATTCGTTCCAGTATCATACTCGTTAAGCGAAACACTCGGTTATGAGAAACAATTTTTATAACAATGTAAAATACGATAATGCGTTCCATGTCGAAAAAAAAAAATACCCACAAAATGCTATGTTTAACGTTTTTTCAAAGAAAATTATATACATATTGTTAAGGAGAGTGAATAATCTGAATCTTTTCTTCAAACGCGGAACGAACCCACCTGCAATGCGAATTCGATTGGCAGAAAACACAAGTCGAAAAAATTATGATACACAGCTAATTATTTTTTTTTACTAGAAAGATGTAAAGAGACATCTTTTTTTGCCGACGCTTCAGTTTTTGGCGAAAATGCGACACGTCTTTATCATTAAATAAATCTGCAACGTGCATAGCCACCTCTTTATTAGGTTGATGCTTCTTAATGTAAGATGCAACAGTTTCCCGTGCTTTCAGCATTTCTCTTTTTTAGCTAGAGATTGTTGCTTTTCTGTTACCTCCTCCTCTGACAAACTTTTCTCCTAAACTTCTTGTTGTGAAACACAATGCAATCCATAAGCTCTTCGATGGTCAGCTCTTGGCTGTGCTCTTCCACAAGCTCTTCGATATCACTGTTATCCACATACAATCCCATGATAGTGGCCAAAGACACAATCTCGTTGACTACTGGTTCCACGGGTACTGTCTCGAACCCCTCAAAGTCCCAACATGACAACGCTCTCCTGCCAAAGCTTCTTCCGAACAGAAGTTAGGGTTCTCTTGGTAACCCCTTCCCCTGCTTTGTCGATCATCTTAAGGCAGGCAACGATGTGGAAGTGATTTTTTCCAAAACTCTTTGAGAGTGAGGTTGGTCTCTTCAGTCACGTCAAAACAATGCCTGAAGAGTGCTTTAGTGTAGAGCTTCTTAAAGTTGGAAATAACTTGCTGGTTTATGGGCTGGAGTAACGGAGTGGCCTTGGGAGGCAAAAACTGGATCTTGATGAACTTAAATTCTTCAGGGAGGTCATCTTGTAGGCCTGAAGGATTCATAAACATATATCACAATATAAGACGTCTGAGAAAATGTATGATCACAAGCGACACTACGATGCTACTGGAATGAGTGCTTAACACAGACTGATGTAACATGCGCACAATCCGGGACTTTCCCTCTCCTCGCCACTCGTTTTGCGAAACGTCGCTCGTTAAGCAAGTCATCCTTTTACAATTTGTTTTGCTCGTTATGCGAATTACTCGTTATGAGAGGTGCTTGTTAAGCGAGATTCTACTGTATTTGCATGAACAGTATCACACATCGTTATACACTCCAAGGTACACAATGCGTTCACTAGAATTAAAACATGATATAACATGTTTCTGTTGCATGTTATCAGCACACTTCAGCAACACAGTAAAGACCGAGGTATCCTAGTCAAACTCAGTGAAAATGATATCCAACCTTAAAACAAATCTTAATCAACGTAAGTTAAAGGGATATTTCAGTGAAACGCAATCTTAATGATAGGAGAAAACATAACATGGAAACCTACTTACGCTGCTGCACAACTCAGCTAATGGGAAATAAAGGGATTAGCGATGTGAGGACGACCGCAAGAAACCATGATACGAACTTTGATGGGAAAGGCCAAAGCTGCTGGACTGGATTCCATCTATGATACTGAACAGAATACAACGGAATGGAAAAATAGACTGCGAGCCCTATTTGGCAATTAATGACACAGCAGGATACGGAATAAACGAACAACTGCGAAAATTTATGTAACCCTTTCCCACAGCTCGGGAATTGAATTGACACTGCTGTACTAGTCAGGGAAACTCATTCAGTCATATAGCTGCACAACTCATGGTTCAGATATCACGCTGTATTAATACGGAACTTTCACATAGATTTGTAATTGTCTCACTGTGAATTACACTAACACTTTTCTAAATGAATTTCAATCAACTGGTAAATCACCGGATAGCTCACAATGCTGGTGCACCTCTTGGTGAAATTCAAACAGTTCTTTCACACACACACACACACACACACACACACACACACACGCGCACACACACACACACGCACACACACACCCAAACACACACACAGAGTAAGACAGACAGACAGACAGACACAAAATAAACGACACTTGTGTTTACATTTGCCAGGGTTATTTCGAAGTTGAGAATGTCGTTAAGTTGATCGTTGACCTCAGGACCTTTAGCCCCTAACAGTTTCACTACATCTTTCATGAATTGGCTGAAAATGAAATAAATCTCATTTAACATTTTATATGGCAGATGTAACGTAACGTTGGCAGCTGGGGTATTCCAGTGGTCAGAGCGTGTGCTGTCAGCTTGATGGGCATAAGATTATATTAACATTGAGGCAACATTTGACTTAGGCTCCTGGGCCCAGTTGGCAGGCAAAAAAGTACCGTAGCATATTCTGGGAAGTCAAGAAGGAGTGATGTCACCCATCGGGTGCAATAATGAATGAAGTCTTGGCCTTACATTAATAAAATATTGTGTCCCATAAAATCTCTTTAAAAAAAAAAAAAAAGCCTGAAAGCGTTTCCAAAAATGTGGCATACAGCTCTGAGAGGTTACATATGTGCAGTTTCAAAACACAGTCAGAAAAGGAGTGGATTGAATGTTTGCACAGATATGTAAACAAATAATACCAGAAGCAATACCAACTTCTGCAACATATCGGATGACTGAGAAGATTGGAAAGCACCAAGTAAGTCCTTGCTGTAGAAGAGGAGGAGAAAAAGCAAAAGGAAGAGGAGAAGGAGGAGGTGGGGAGGAAGAGAAGGATAATGGAGAAGAAGGACAGATTAAGATGACGAACACGGAGAAGTAAGAAAAAGGAGGAAAATAAAGAAATAATAAGAGAAATGAGGATGATGATAATGATAAGGACTAAACAAACTGATGTAAGCAATAATGGGAAAACAATCTGGGTGGATGACAGCCATGTTAAAGACGAATGTACAGGACAATCACTTGGTACCTGTAAGCTTGCATGTGGCTGGCATGATCCTTCAGGAGGTAATATTCTCTGCTTGGCATACCTAAATCTCCTTGCTGTATCTGTAGGTATTATAGTGTTTTTTTTTTTTCAAATAATACAATTGTGTACAGTACATGAAGAGAACACTGAGATACAAGGAGGGGCGTCATGATGAATACCGTCAGACGTTGAATTTAGTAAGAAAAGAAAGATGGTGACATCGTAATAACATACTTACATTCAGAGAGATGTAAATTTTAGAAATGCCTGTTGTTGGTGTTCGTCCATCATGAGTGATGAAAACCACTTAAATCAAAAGTAGTAATGATCAATGATTATGGGTACAAAGGTGGCTGATTAGTCCAATATAAGCCTGGAAAGTTCTTGTAGTCTGCCTCGGTTTCTCTGCATGTGCAACCTCCGCTGCTTGGTAGGCCGATGCACCATGCCCGAGGAACGTACGTCATCAAGAACGGTCTTGTGCAGCAGCCTCCCACGTCTATGTGTTGATGCCAAAAGAATTGAGAGCAGTCTTGAGAGTGTCCTTATAACGCTTTTTCTGTTCTCCCTGGGACCTCTTTCTTTGGAGCTTTCTATTAAGTACTCTGGGAGGCTATAGTCTGGCATGCGGGTTGGGTGACCAGCCCAACGCAGCTGACAATTCTTCAGTATCATGTGGATGATAGGCAGGTTTGCCCCATCAAGAATCACAGTATTTAAGATCTTATCTTGCCATTTGATTTTTGATCTGCTTCCGAGACAGGTTATAGGAAACTGCTATTGCACGTATGACTGGGAAAAATGTCATCTATTTATCATTGTCAGAATAGAATAGGTCAACGGTGTCAATTTCGTTCCGTAGATTGTTTTCACAATCAATACAAGACCATTGTGTTTTTTTAATATTTTATTATTTCTTCTTTTTTTTCTTTTTCTTCTTGTCTTCTTCTTGTTCTTCTTGTTCTTTTTGTTCTTCTCGTTCTTTTTCTTTTCCTTCTTCTTCTTCTTCTTCTTCTTCTTCTTCTTCTTCTTCTTCTTCTTCTTCTTCTTCTTCTTCTTCTTCTTCTTCTTCTTCTTCTTCTTCTTCTTCTTCTTCTTCTTCTTCTTCTTCTTCTTCTTCTTCTTCTTCTTCTTCTTCTTTCTTCTTCTTTCTTCTTCTTCTTCTTCTTCTTCTTCTTCTTCTTCTTCTTCTTCTTCTTCTTCTTCTTCTTATTCTTCTTCTTCGTCTTCTTCTTCGTCTTCTTCTTCTTCTTCTTTGTCTTCTTCTCTTCTTCTTCTTCTTCTTCTCTCTTCTTCTTCTTCTTCTTCTTCTTCTTTCTTCTTCTTCTTCTTCTTCTTCTTCTTCTTCTTCTTTTCTTCTTCTTTCTTCTTCTTCTTCTTCTTCTTCTTCTTCTTTTCTTCTTCTTCTTCTTCTTCTTCTTCTTCTTCTTCTTAGGTCTTCTTCTTCTTCTTCTTCTTCTTCTTCTTCTTCTTCTTCTTCTTCTTCTTCTTCTTCTTCTTCTTCTTCTTCTTCTTCTTCTTCTTCTTCTTCTTCTTCTTCTTTCTTCTTCTTCTTCTTCTTCTTCTTCTCTTCTTCTTCTTCTTCTTCTTCTTCTTCTTCTTCTTCTTCTTCTTCTTCTTATAGGTCAACTGAGTCTTCGTTCTTCTTCTTCTTCTTCTTCTTCTTCTTCTTCTTCTTCTTCTTCTTTCTTCTTCTTCTTCTTCTTCTTCTTCTTCTTCTTCTTCTTCTTCTTCTTCTTCTTCTTTTCTTCTTCTTCTTCTTCTTCTTCTCTTCTTCTTCTCTTTTTTCTTCTTCTTCTTCTTCTTCTTCTTCTTCTTCTTCTTTCTTCTTCTTCTTCTTCTTCTTCGTCTTCTTTTCTTCTTCTTCTTCTTCTTCTTCTTCTTCTTCTTCTTCTTCTTTTTCTTCTTCTTCTTCTTCTTCTTTTTCTTCTTCTTCTTCTTCTTCTTCTTCTTCTTCTTCTTCTTCTTCTTCTTCTTCTTCTTCTTCTTCTTCTTCTTCTTCTTCTTCTTCTTCTTCTTCTTCTTCTTCTTCTTCTTCTTCTTCTTCTTGTTTTTCTTTTTCCTCTTCTTGTTCTTCTTCCTTCTATGAAAGGTTGAAAAAAAGCTGTGTGTGTGTGTTTTTTAAATTGACTTCTGTTTATTCCTCATTATACGTTATCAATCAAAGCAGTCAACTACAATATCTGTGTCTTCTCTATCGTATTGTGTCTTATTATTGTATGGCTGGAATCGCATAGCAAATTCTGGAAAACTCATGCTGTCAAAGTTATATTTATCATGAGTAGGACGTTTCCCGTATTGTTAAAGATGTCAGCAAAATATTAGGTTATCATGTATAGTATAGCGGTACCAACCTATTACAGTAACATGTGGCATCACGGTAACGATTTAAAAATCGTTTCCAGAGGCTTTCTTTTAGAACAACGCATTGTCAAAGAATTATTCAATGCTTAAAAGGCGAGAACCCCAATTCGCATTCAGGAGCGTTTGAAGAATTGTTAATGGGATTCAAGAGTGGATGTTAGCACTGTCCGACGCTGGGGACATCGTTGTGACGAAGCTGAAGCAGATCATTTTTTTCAACTCCTGATACAAAACCTATGGCAGTTACTCCACACACGATTAATTAAACTGATGATACCATCCGAGATCGAGTGAGTAATGAAACTATCAGGCAAATTGTGGAAACGACACCTTGTACTAGATTCATCGAGAAACAGCAGATTAAGTGGTTTGGCCATCTTGTTAGATTGCCACACAAATACCATCACAAGCACTACATCTCAGAAGATCAGCTACAAGAACAAGAGGACGGCCGCGGAAAATATGGATCGACAACATTAAAGACACTCTGCGCCTTTACAGCATGACAATAGCCAGTGGCAGCCAACGTGCACTGGATTGCAAATTTTTCCTCTCCACGGCACTTAACGACAATAGTGATTTATGATGATGATGATTTTTTTTTTTTTTTTTTAACGTATCCAGAAACCATGAGTTGTAAACCCTTTGGCTCGGTACTATGGATATCGCAACCCTTCGGCATTGATTCCATTATAGGTACCGTTAATCTGGGAGAAATGTGGCTTTTCTGCCTACCCCCGGGAGTGAACCAGGACCACAATGATGATATCCTTTATGCTGACCGTCACGTAACAATAGATGAACTGTTTTCCCTGTTGTCTGTTAGTGAAGGTAGTGTCAGTGACAGATATAAATAAAGAATAAAAACATAGGCGTCAACCATCTGCACTGTTACGAACCTGAAAAAGAAAAGTTTTTATCGAATATTGTGACAGGTAATGAGACTTGGTTTTTGTTTTCTGAATAGAAGAAGAGCCAGTTAATGGAATGAATCAACTAACATTGACGACAAGAAAGAAGTTCAAAAGTTCACCACCTACAGGGACAATTTTGACCTCAGTGTTTTGGAACGATACACTTGTTATTCTTCTCACTTCTTGGAAAAGGGGAACACCGTAAATGCTGAGCGTACATTGAAACTTTGAAGATGCTTAGATGTCGTCTTCGGCACTTTATCCGTTAAAAGGTCGAAGAATTGTGTACAAATATGCCACGATAACTCCATGCCACACACCGCTAAACGAAGCATTTATACGACTGCATAGTTTATCTGGATATTATTATCGTATCCCCCTTACAGTCCCGATCTTGCACTTTCGGGCCTTCATTTGTCTGGACCACTAAAAGACGATCTGTGCGGATATTACGTTGAGAATACTGAGAACCTTCAACCGTGACGGGATGATGCACACGTGACAATATGGACAAACACTGTCACAAATAAAAGAGACTAACATATTAAGTCGGCGTCTGTGGCTTAGGCGTTGCGAACGCGTTTCGTAATGCCGGGGTGTCGCGTTCAGTCCCAGCTGCGGGCCTTGCGCCTTGCGTTGGTTTCCACAGTGGTATCGAGAAACCGACCGTCTAGAAAGCAAGGCAAACTGCTGGACGTAAATTTGCCTAGAAAAACCACACACACAAAAAGTGGGGTTGGTTCTGCAACGTCCTGTAAAGGATACGCAAATAACTAAATACAGCTTAAGTGGCTTCGGGTGTAAACAGACAAGATGGCCGGACACCTCTTTCGTCCGTTAGGAGGAAGGGTGTTTTCGCCACCTATGATGTGTTTAACTCTTTGAGTCCCAGGGAATGCATTATACGTTCATAGGTTTCTACCCAGTGAACGCATGAAGCGTCGATTTTAGTGTCTCTTTACTACCCATTGAGCCTGTGATGCTAAACACCCTGGAACTCAAAGGGTTAAATAATCGGGATTTTGGGCCGTGCTACAGAGTTCGTGCACGAGTTCCCAGTCTCCTATCGGCGTTTCATTAACGTCCTGTAGTGAAATTTCATTAATGGAAACCCGACGTCTGGCCACTAGAATAAAGATCAGCAAGCGTGCTGGTACGGTCGGAAACGTTTAAAATGTGACAGGTTGATCATAAAATATGTTCGTGTTTTATACTGGAACAGTGTCTCGTTTAATCAAAGACGGCCCATTTTCTAAAAGCTTCTTTATGGCAATGACATCGTAGCCTTGCAGGAAACACGTCTAGGAGACGAGACAGAGTTGCGGGTTTTCAGTGCTCCTACAATCAGTGGCATCTTGGACAAGACATTATGTTTAGCGACAGCCTGATAGTGTCTGAAGCTGACATATCTGAATGGAACAGTGACGTCCTGCAGGTGCATGTAGTAAGAGTGCTGGCTCCCACCCTTTTCACGATCGTCAATATTTACGCCTGTGACAGAAAGGTCAACTTGCGGCAGTGGTAGCGTGTGTTTGGGCCCATAGGAAAAAACATAATTTATTTCGGGGACTTTCAGAGGCAGCCAATGTGGTAATGTTATCACTAATAAACAGGGAGAAGATCTGGAGGAGGCCCTGGTATCTGCTAAACTGGTATGTTTGAGCGACGAACAAGTAACTATACTAGCCGCTCCAACAGGTGACTTTGACAGTGGAATTGACTTGGCTCTAGTGTCTCCCACCATCGCCCCTGTTTGTAGATGGAGTTTACTGGGATACCATGACAGCGACCACCTGACCTGT